TGAACAAGGGTCCTCGAATCGGTCAGAAAATTTGTTCAACAGGGCTGGGGGCGGGACCGCGAATGACAGAGGACCTCTTGCGTTGGCCAGGTCCCTCTGACAACAAAAGGAGGTATTATAGCTTATGACGATTGCTCATGTCGAGGCAATGTGAGGGTCCTGTGTCAATCAGCCCCCCCCCCCCCCCCCTGTACCGACCCATCCTTCCTTCACTATAGGGAGCCCACTGCCCAACCGCTCAGCCGGTGACTCGTCCTTCTCTATCGGGAACTCACTGCCCAGCCGCTCAGCCGGTGACCCATCCTCCTCTTTCGGGAGCCCAGTGCACGGCGGTTTTGCTGCCCGGTCGGTAGGCTCTGTTGGACTGTAGCCGCCACGACGGGGGGGTCAGATTTTTCATCTGCTCTCGGGTGTTGCTCGTCACGGCTAATGAAGCACGACTCCCGTGGGTGACACCCGCGTCTAGGCGCACGGTCGCGTGTAAAGGCGGAATGCTCCAGACTGCAGCCACGACTCTGCAGTCGGGCCGGAATGCTGGTAACGCAGCAGCGGCCAAACTATCCGCACAGTTAGGACTGCCGCCCAGCTGCTTTGCTCAATAACGCCGAGGAATTCCGTCGGAGGATCGCTCGCCGGCGCCGCTCGCGCTCGACGCGGGCAGGTTTTGAACGCGGGAGGAGGCCAGGGGGACGCCATCCCAGGCAGGCCTGACCTGATTGAGACGTCAGCGAAGGGTCGCCGCCGGCGCCCGCCCAGCATCGATGCTCGAGCGTGACAGTGTTTGAAATGAAACAATATCGGCCGCAAATTTAATAAAGTCCGCGCGGCGCGGTCGGGACGGCCGGCAATATGGCGTAGTTACCCTGTGATGGCCTGCGGGCCGGTGAGAGCAGGACAGCACGGGGTCATCCCGACCTGCTCCCCCCCCCCCCCCACGCCCGCCCCTCCACCTACGTCCCAGTCTGCCCGGCCGACGAGGAGACAGTGTCTGGACGAGGTGAAGATAATGCCATTCGCAGCGGTGGATCGTTGGCCGAAGCTCCGCCGGTGGTCTGCCGTAGGCACCTTGAAAGCTGGCGAGAAGCTGGGCAAACGACACTGGTGGCTTTGTGATCTGCTCGATGTGGTGCCAGGTCGGTGTGAGACGCGGGGTTGGTGTCATGTCCGTGTCATGTCCGTGCGTGTATTTGAGCGACCCGAATATACACATGGACATCACACCAACCTCGCGTCTCTCCACTCAACTCGAGGCTATTAATGCCCATCATGGCAGAGATGTACTAAGGTGAAAGAGACGAGCATACACGGGCATACGATATAAAGGCGTGTGCAGGCATACAAGCATGCAGACATCTGCACGAGCGTCGTTGCATGTCACTGAATTGCCGTTGATCACTTAGCGCTTCAGATGCCTAGTGACGGTTACGACCGGTGGTCGCTTGAGGCTGCACGGCACTGCGTTGTACAGCTCAGGTGCACGGGAGGGAAGACGACGCTTTTCCATCTCAGTGTGGGAGCGGAGCACAGCCAAGTCACTGGCCTGTCCCGTGAGTCGCAGAGGGACATCACCCGCGGTCCGTAACTGGCCGGTCAGAGGGGCCGGCCAGTTGATTGCTGACACCTCCTTTACCAGAACACTGTGTGGGATGGGGATGGTGTGGAGCCTCCCTAAATCAACAGCCCAGAGTCAGCCAAGCTTCTGAGGGAGGTTTGAAGCATGATCGGATTTTCGCGGCCGAAAATGACCTTCGCAGCAAAGCCTAATGCTTTCCGGATCTAGACAAATTACTCTGTGTGCCGTTGCCATAGACTGGTATAATGTGAGATCAGCTTGACGGTACAATGAAACGCCGCCTGTGGTCGGCCGATGTGTTGGCGTATTGGACAAGTTTCTAAAACAGCCATGGTAGTTCTTTCATAGGAAGTGTGCTGTTCTCTGACACTGTTTCTGCTCCACAACCTCTTCAGCAAACTGAAGTCTCACGCGTGCCGCCGCTTCACATCCCTGAGCCAAACTGTGACCCCTTGACACGAATAGCGTGCCACTCAATCCAGGAAGTTATAAGTAAAATCTCGCTTTTTCATCATTGCTGCGTAAAACTTGCCAATCAGATCTCTCTTCGGTAATAGGCCGGTGCACCCCGACGGTGTCAGTGCTGCCGCATACCAGGCAGGCTTCGGCTCCGACGGTGTCAGTGCTGCCGCATACTGCCATTTCGACGGTGTCAGTGCTGCCGCATACTGCCACTTCGACGGCGTCAGTGCTGCCGCATACTGCCACTCCGACGGTGTCAGTGCTGCCGCATACTGCCACTTCGACGGTGTCAGTGCTGCCGTATACTGCCACTCCGACGGTGTCAGTGCTGCCGCGTAGTGCCACTTAAACGGTGTCAGTGCTGCTGAATACTGTCACTCCGACAGTGTCAGTGCTGCCGCATACTGCCACTCCGACGGTGTCAGTGCTGCCGCATACTGCCACTCCGACGGTGTCAGTGCTGCCGCATACTGCCACTCCGACGGTGTCAGTGCTGCCGCATGCTGCCACTCCGACGGTGTCAGTGCTGCCGCATACTGCCACTCCGACGGTGTCAGTGCTGTCGCATACCACCGGTGCACTCCGACGGTGTCAGTGCTGCCGCATACCAGGCAAGTTTCGGCGCGTTCTCTTTGTTGCCGTCTGGCCCACGTTGCGAGCGCGTCAGCCGCCTCAAAGCAAATCTCGTCAGAAAGCGGTCACTTATTCCACTTTTATGCCCCTTTGTCCGCAACGGGGACGAAGAAATTCATTCGAGCGGCGTGCTGACGAGGGGGAAAAATCGACCCTACACGGGCCCAGTTACCAGACGGCGCCATATCATTTGAATAACGCGATGTCTGCGGGGCTTAACGGGCGCCCAGAGACGGCGCTGGCCGCGTGTATGATTGGTCTGAGCACTGTGCCGCGGTCTTGGGTGCCCCCCTGTGCCACCGACCGATAGCGCGGTACATTAGCGCCGCTCACAGCTAGGGGCTTTATAGCGGCATTAAATCCGGCCGGGGCTGCGATGCTCTCAGGCCAAAGCGGAGGCACACCACTTCCCGCCAGAACCATTGAGACGTTTACGTGCCGATTGTGATGGATACGAATGGCGACGGCGAGCCTGTGGAGATAAGGGACACTGAGGAGGCCTGGCGTGACTCGTGGCGTTTGTGCGTGTCCCCTCAGACCTCTAATCCGCTCATGTTCTTTGCTAAGTAACCGTAACAGAGTTACTGCAGTTCGATGTTGAGCACGTTTTTTGCTATGATGCCGCTGTCAGTCAGCCATGTGTCGGCATGCTAGGCATGTTGCCATAGAACGTGGTAAAAAAAAACGCTCTATTGTGAAAATCACGATTAAAGGTGAGCTGCCAGTTTGACCGAAACACACCTTAGAGGGGGTGTCCCACAATTAAGAAGATATTGAGGCAAGCATGATGGAAAAAGCTCACTTTCAACTTTTGGTATGCTTATATGTGCATGTGCGTGTGTTCTGTAGCTTCTCTCGTGCTGTTCCTGTACGTGTTTCCGTGATGGCACGTGATGCTTTTACTCGCATTTACATTCCTGGTTGCGTAACTATTCACGGATTATTCGATTTCCGGCGTCATGCTCGCCGTGACCAGTTGAACCACTCAATTTCCTGTATCACGTGTGACCGAAGGTGGTTCGCGTTCGCAATCCACTGTTTTAACGTCGTTCTCGCTCTATCCCGCATCCCCGGGACATCTCGCTTCTCCGGGGCAGGCCACATGCGCCACGCTCGAGTGGGACGAAGTGGCCCCTGGTGGCCTTAGTCCGAGCGCTGAGCGCGCGCACACACCGCGTAGGGGTCGCTGTGTGGGCGAAGCCTCGGCGTATGGGTCTCCAGGTGCATGCGATCCTTCCCCACTGTTATCCGCTTTCCTTCGTTTCATAGCCCTGAAATGACCATGACGGCCGAAAGGCTCTGATCCAAATGACCAATAACCAATCGTGATCGAGACTTGCATTTCTCTGGTTGATAGCTGACTGCGGTCTGTTGATGGGACAGTTGGTACCAACGTACTTTAGACACGAATAAATCAATGGCTGTATTCGTCTTGACCTTGAAAACAATTTGGCCACTCAGGCAGAATTCGTGTGACGTTTCTCTGACATACATCTCTGGTTGACTTCCTATTAGCCGGCGCGAAAGTCTGCACCAGGTCGCGTGCGCCTAGCTAAAAAATAAGTGGATTTGGAATATTAAAATTTACATAGCTCTGAACTGCAGGAAATGATCTTAAAAACGACTCATCAGTTCAATGGCCCACACAAATGTGGAACAGTCCATTAAACGAACAAGGGTACCGCAAGGATACGGGGTCGAACGGCCTCCTGCATTTTAGAATCCTTTCGGAGACCATGTTATAAATATAAATCACTTCGTTGATAAACACTTCCTACGCATTAACTGTGAAATCAAGTGCAACGGGACTGGTTAATGTTTATCATGTTCTTGCGGGAGAAAAACTTTGCTTAGGGGGCTTTACAATTGCCGTCTACATGACAGTTGAAAACTAGACAGCATATGGGTTATGTAGCGTATGTAGCGTGTGAAAGTTCGGTGGTACATGATGATTGAATTGCCCATACGCTACGGTGCACAACAATTAAGCGCATATCAAACGATACCGGTTGAATAGATCCACCAGATGCCGTTCAGCGGTCTGACAGTGGCGTGTCAGCGTCCTCGCAGGGACCTAATATCCGAAGCAGCTCAAGACGTCCCACCAGATCCGTCATGACTGGCAGCACTCCGGCCGATTATTTGTATTGTTCCAGCAACCAATAACACCGCTGTGAAGGAGCGTCTGCATATGATCAGACAACCCGACCCTGAACACCACGCGCCCGCAGACCGGATATTGCAGGATCCGTGCACTGTTTGTTCCACAACATCTCCTCGAACACTTGAGTGATGTACTCCGTCGTAAGCCGCGTTCGCCGGCTGCCCTCAGGTGCTGGCTGCCCACGGACGGATGCAGCACCGCTTCACAGACCGGCTGAGTCACGTGACCCGGGGCTTACGCGCCCAGCAGGCGGCTCCCGACCAGCAGTGAAGTCAGGGCGCGCCCAGCCGGCAGCGCCCGACCAGCAGTGAAGTCAGGGCGCGCCCAGCCGGCAGCGCCCGACCAGCAGTGACATCACGGCGCGCCCAGCAGGCAGCGCCCGACCAGCAGTGACGTCAGGGCACGCCCAGCAGGCAACGCCCGACCAGCAGTGACGTCAGGGCACGCCCAGCAGGCAGCGCCCGACCAGCAGTAACGTCAACCGAACCAGCCGTGGTGTCACAACGTTGCGGACCGTGGCCAGTGTTTGGTGGCCCTGCCGAACTGCAGCGCCTGTGAAACATGCCAGTACAACACGCTCCTTTCAACGCCTGACGGTGCTCGGGAGGTGATCGCATGTGTTGGCCTTTTCATGCTTTCGAATGGCAGCGTTATCCCAGCTGCATGAGCACCCAGCTTGCGGATGTCGCTTTTGTCTGCTTCGCTCAGTTTCCGTGCGCTAAACGCAATACATATGCTGGCCGGGTGCAAGCAGTCGGTCCTCTCGTAGTGCGGGCCGCGAGCTGGTTACGTTCCACCGCAGCGCAGGGCCCCAGGCGAGTCGACTGAGCGGCGCCCCGACCTGCGGGCTCACCGTATGCCGACACAGCCCCCGACGATCAAATGTCGCCGCTCCGATTACGGCAACCGACCTTTCTCAATTCCCGGCCGGCTGGACGGCTTCCGCCTCGCCAGACGCCGAGTGGGGTTCGACCGCAGTTGGCTGGCCAAGGAAGCGCTCTGGAACACACACACTGCACCTCGTAGCACGCGGCTACGCGCTGCAAGGTGCAGTGTGTGTGTTCCAGAGCGGCTACGGCTACGCGCGACCTGTCCGGCTCCCAGCGCCGTGCCACAGCGTCCGTGTGTGGGCGGCGCCGGGTGCGCCGGACGATGAGATGAGTCACCCCCGTCGCGCCCCGGGCGAGGCGCTCTTGCTCTTGAGTTCCCCTGGTGCGCTCTCGGTGACCGGCGCCGGATGCGCGGGCAACGAGACTCGTCACCCGCCGCGCTCCGGGCGAGACGCTCTCGCTCTTGTCGAGTTCCCCTGGTGCGCTCTCGGTGACCGGCGCCGGATGCGCGGGCGACGAGACTCGCCACCCGCCGCGCTCTGGGCGAGACGCTCTCGCCGGGGTGCCCCGGTCGCCACCGTTATTGCGCAGATTCAGCCGGGCCGTCGCGGCGTGGGTCGCTTGCACGCCATGATTCGCCCGTTGCATATGAATAGTGGTCAATTGCACGCACGGCGCGGCGGCCTGGCGGCCATTGTGGTGCGGTGGCGTGCTCTCGGATGGCGCCTGGGCCAAGTGGCGGTGCTTGGGGCGCGGAGGAGACGGCGTCGGACTGCGCTGGGGCCGCGCCAGCTCCGGCCGATCTCGGGCGCTGATGGGGGACGGCGGCGCTTGGCGCGGGCGCCGGAGAAATGGTGCGGGGCGGAGGCGCTTCCAGCCGCTCCATAGTGGCGCATTGGCGGGGATGTCGGCGGTGTAAAAGGCTCAGAAAGCGAGTTGTCTTCGCTGATTGCGAACCAACTCGTGGAATAGCCTGAAAGTCACGCGGGTCGAGGGAGCCGTCGAACGCCAATTTCGGAAAGGAGATCTGATTCGGCACAATATTCGCCGTCGGTGGCCAACGCCCCGATCATTCGCGCAGGCTCTGGGGTTTGGGGATGTCGGGACGGCTAGTGCATTGAGCAGCTGGCGTGCTGCGAGGCACACGATGCCTGCACACGAAGTTTATTTGACGGACGGCACGGTCTGTTTATTCCACCAGTACGGTAATTCGTTCTCTGGTTGCTTGGTATGGTAAGTCGATAGCTGATTCCGTTCCGTCTCTCTTTATAGAGCGCCATATCGAACGATGTTATGTCTATGACAAAGCCCGTACATGTAAAGATGTTGTCACACAACACTACAGCGTGGAAGATTGACTAAGTCATACCTAGGTTTAACATCACTGCGTTTGTTTACATTACTGTTTTTATCACTCCATTGTGATTCTTCGTCGCAGACGAGCATTTCAAGCATGCTCTGGGAAGGCGATTGAAGTAGTCCATATCACAGCCCCTACACCACTGATGTACTCATGTTACTTCCAATAATTCCGCGCCCCCTTCCCCTTTGCTCGCGGGCGCAAAGGCACCACTTTTTGGAGGGTGGTCAGACCAGCAGTTAGGTCGGTTCTCACTGTAAAGGGTCTCCCTTATACAGTATGCATTGCATTACGTTTCTGCTTATGCATGCTACCCTTTTGTCGTAATTCGCTATAATGTACTCATACAAATTCCAGGAACGCAAACGATGGATTACTTTAATGTTGTGCACGCAACAAATAGTTAGAATGCATCTGTTAGGGCCAATGACACGTTATGAAGTCATCAGGTTACGAACGGAAGTCATCTAAAACAACTCGGTAATTGCTGAGCCAACTTAATTTTTGGCTGCGTTCTTACGATAAACCCGGGCACACGTCATGTTGGGCATAGTGCTTAATCGTCGTGAGTAATGCAATACCGCACGGTGTTTTTAGCTTCAGGGTTATTTTTGCAATATGTTTTACCGCCCCACTGGCCAGGTTGCCGTTAAGTATGGAAATAATTCGGCGAGGAAAGATGAATTGCTGAAAACATGTGCTGTAAGTTAGTTTTCATTCGCAATCCAAATATGCATGTCATTTTTATTGCAAACGTCCTATTGTTGGCCTTTTCATGGTGAAACTGAGGTCGCTGACCTGCAGGGATGGATCAAGGATCCTGTCAAGGAAAGGGCCACGCTTCACTTTGCTTTCCGCCCTCGCAAAAGTCCACGGATTCCGGTCACTTCATTTTCAGTTTCTTACTTTTAATCGAGAAATTATCTTCCTCTGTGCATGGTAGATGGCTAGGCATAAAAGGTACATACATACATGGCATACGTTTTTCAGAGACTGATGCCCTTTCCATTCTGAGCTAAGAAGATGGGGAAAAACGGGTTAAAGTTTTCAATCGAAATCAGACATCACAGCACGACTTGCGTCACTGGCCGTCCTTAGCTCACTCAAGCTCTTTAGCTCACTTTAGCTCACTGGCCATCTTAAGCTCACATGCGATGAAACCAGCAGAAAGTTGCGTTTTGTAGGTCACTGACCTTGCAGTTAATGGTCGAAAGCGAAAATATTGGCTTGCTCCTTAATTGTAAATCATATTGACTCACAGGATTTCGCGTGACGCGAATATTGTTGTAGCAGAAGGCGGCGAAGCCAGTGAAATTCGTAGACTGTTGACCAATCTACTTTCTGGCAGTAAAACATATGGCCAGTTCCTTGGAACATGCGGAATGCTTGTGCTGTTAACGTGGAAATAAGTAAACCTTACGTTGAATGTTTTGAACATCGTGAAGGAGTGCGAAGTTCGGGCCAAAGAAAGTGACTCCAACGATGTATAAGTAGTATGAGTATCTGACTCAACAAGTGCGGATACCAGACCTGCGCCGCCCGCGCATGGCATATCTTGCAATCGGATGCGAAAGTTTGTCGGCACACACCGCTCCTGCTATCTGCGAGACCGCCGAGACGAAATCGACATCATGTATGCTTCGAAATTCTGCATCTGTATTTGTTGGGTCAAACTAGTGCCGAAGCAAACATGCCAGGGGGCATGCGCAACTTTGCGGCGCGTAAGACGCATTTGTGCTGTTGCTATCCTCAAATACATTTATCACGCCCAGTGTGTCGCGTATTAAAAAAGTGTGTTAAATGACGTGTTCAACTAGGTGCATGCACGGGTCATTTGTTCAGACTGTCATCGGTCGGTCATCTAAATGTAAAACGTGATTGCTAATTCAACGAAAAACAGCTTTTCGTGGCGCCAAAGCTGAGCGACTGATTGGCACGTGTTTGCATATACTTGCATGTGTATGGTTTGGGTATCAGCGGCAAATCTACTCCACCCGCTCTTAAGGTCCGCCCTTATCGTTCATATTTGTTTTTATTATGGACATATTCACATACTATTGTTGTCATGCCGATGGATTTCGCTGCAGGTGGGTATTGGTCAATGTAAAGCGCACATCAAGTTGTACCTTTCTGTGAAGATCCAACTGCTATATTAAAACAATAATGTCATACGGGCGTGAGGAATATGATGTCTCCTTACTGCTAGCGCTAACCAGGGCCGACCCCCGGATCTCGTCAAGCGGATGCTCAGACACTGCGACCTGGGACGCAGCCAGAGCCACGGTAAGAGAGGTGCATTGCGCTTAACAAAGGGTAAGGGCTGGTGGAAGGGCAGCAGGAAAACTGATCCCGAAAATAAGAAATAAGAAAACAATGATTCGCCCGAATTTAGCCTGCTACATTTCGAGGAATCCTATTGTCTGAAGTTATTTTTTATGTTTAACTTAGCCTGAGTGAACCCTTCATGCTGGAAGATGCACTTCTGCACGCATTTAGAAGTAAATCAATTTGACTCATTCAGAAATGAAATGGCTACATAGAATAATTCGCGGGCGCTATTCACTTTACAGTGGTCCCTTGGACGCTTTGTGTCAGGCGGTAACAGTTTGCGTTGCTGCTAAATTTTCGCGGGGAATTCAAAGGTGCCCAATTTCTCGGGAGGTTTCAACGACGAGGGCCCGTTGGTCAAACCCCAGCGTAGATCAAAACAGGGCAAAACCTTTGCAACAATATGTCCAATCGTGGTTAATTGGTTTAGCATGCACATTTGACATACTTCGCTGAAGGGGCCAATCTGGGGTTTCTTTAGGGTGAAAGGCACAGAAGTTGTGGTGTCATGGTATTTTGGTGTCTCCCGATTGTAAGGGTTTTTTGGTTCTTTAAATGGCCCGTTTTGGGTTTGGTGCCTCTTGGGAATGAAGATAATGGTGCCCCTAAAAGAAACTTTGTGGCGCTCGCCAAATAGGCTGCCCCAAGATGTCAATGGGGAGGTGTCGCATTCCAGTGTTCGCTGGAATTAAGTGCGTCTTGAAAATAAAAGCTATGTACTTGAGAAATACAACTTTTGCTGCCCTTTTATCATGCAATTTCGGTGCGCCGAAAAGGCATCAAAATATCATGGGGGCGAAGGATGGTTCCGTGCGCCCCCCCCCCCCTTGGATCCGCCCCTGTTCACCTGAGACGCCATGCTTGATAAGGTTGCTTTAAATTCAGTTTGCGTGAGCGGTATTTTTACGCGCAGAATTAGAGTATCATTATTTTGGAACTACCGATGATGACGGTAATGGCATGGGGCATGTGCACTGCACGTGGCAAAACAAGCATGCTTGCTAATTGGTGACCCACTTGGTCGGAACTGTTGTCGCTCGTGTTGCCTTCTAGTAAATGTCAGGACACTCCCGGAGGGCCTGTACAGGGCGAGCAGCTGTTCCGATGATGGTTTGTTCCTCATGGCAGTTCCCTGGCAATGCACACTGCTCACCGCGGAGTCGGGAAAAGGCTCACTGGTGACCAATCTGACCAAGGAGACGCGCCACGTGACTGGCGA